GAAGAGCGAAACGAGCTTGCTATAAATGTTTACGGTGTCCGAGAAAAGACCATAGTTCCCCTACATGTTTCATGTAACAGAGGAGAGCGCATAAACCTTTTCTACCATGGTGAGCATTATTCGTGGGTGAAGTCGCCAAGCCGCCTATTTGCCATGCATAGTAAAGTATTGATCACCGATGAGTATGAGGAGGCTGGTAACACGCAAAAGAAAGGGCTACACGAGATTTGCTCGTATGGTTACGTAGTCGTTCGCTGCGACGGTGAAGCGGATGAGCCAGTGCTTTACCGAGGCCCTAACGCTGCACGGAATTTCCTCACAGCTTTAGAAGAAGAGGAAGAATACATTCGACGCCGGTTAATGAATGAAAAGAAGGTTAAGTTGACTAAAGAGCAGTTAGGAGCATATCACGCACCACAGAAGAGCTAGGTGTTCTAAAGTACGGACGCCGAGCAAAGAAAGCCTGGGATAAAGATGGGGCTTACTTAGGAGAAGCGCACCCCACATGTGGACGTTATGCAAAAGACGGAGATAAGCCTGGCAARCCTTCCACGCACTGCTTTCACTGCGGCGAACCTATAGAGGAAGACTTTTACACAGACAAAGTGATGGATTGCTGTGAAATCACTGGTGAGTTTAAAGGCGCATCGCACTGGAAATGCAGACAGCGGATAGACCCCAACATGGAGATTCCTGTGTTCTTTCACAACCTCCGCGGGTACGACTCCCATTTACTATTGCAAGGTGTGGAGGGGCACGAAGTAAAGTGTATACCTAACAACAAAGAACGGTATATGTCCGTAACGATGGGCAAGCTAAAGTTCCTGGACTCCCAGCAGTTCATGGCAGATTCCTTAGCCAATCTAGCCAAGTACAATGAGGATTCACCGATATCCGACGAATACGGCGCGGAAAGGAAAGGCGTGTATCCATATGAATACATGAATTGCTGGGGGCGCTTCGAAGAAACGCAGCTTCCGCCTAAGGAATGCTTTTACAGCACTCTAAATGAAGCGGGAATATCTGACGCTGAGTACGAGCACGCAAAGGAGGTTTGGAAGCGCCACGAATGTAAGAACATGGGAGATTACCACGACGTTTACCTGTTGTCAGACGTCGTYCTACTAGCAGACGTCTTTCAAAGCTTTCGAAAGATGGCTATGTCTTACTACGGGTTGGATYCRGCGAACTTCTACACGGCTCCTGGGCTTTCCTGGAGTGCGCTGCTAAAGAAGACAGACGCACGGCTGGACCTCCTAACCGATTATGAAATGTACCGCTTTATGGAAGACGGTATCCGTGGTGGAGTCTGCGGACCCAGCAGGCGTTACGCCAGAGCGAACAATCCCCAGGTGGAGGGGTACGACCCTGAAAAGCCAAACACCTACATCTTTTACCTGGATGCTAACAACCTCTATGGGTGRGCAATGTCCCAGCACCTACCYGTGCGCGACTTTGAGTGGACAGAACCACGCGAGTCAGAGTACTACATGCGGATAAGACCTGACAGCCGCAAAGGCTTCATCCTGGAGGTGGATTTGGAGTACCC